TTTAACGTTCCCGTTTTTAACCAAAAATCCATCTGCAAATATTTAAAAATATACTCCTTACAACCAATTAGGAGATGAAGTTTTATACGAAAATGATTTACTATATTTTTTTCAACTATGTAAATTTACATTTACATGGATAAAAGGCAAAAATTATTTTTCGAATAAAAATTTGAAATAGAAAATTTTAAATATTATAAAACAGTTACCTTTGCTTTCGCAATATAGTTCATATAACAATAACCAAAAAACGTATTCATACACAAAAGAGTACGTCAAAATACATGCAATAGTGCCTGTATCGCCTTACAGTCTTTACACTACTGCGGCTACTGCAGCTACAAGCTACAACTTGCAAACGTGAGACAGTGATCAGCTGACTCCAGCGATTGTGACGTAACATTTACAGCGCGAAATTTTAAAATTATAAGCATGGTTTCATTTTTATAACTATCCATCTTTATGAAAAATATTGAATTTTTAAAATTAGTATACTTATTGAACAAGTAGGGGTTGACTTATTGACTTATATAAAGAAATATTTGGGCATGGCCCACGGAACCCCAGGGTTCCGCGGAACTTACTTTGAATACCGCTGCTTTATAGCAACCAAATAAACAATTAATTATTTATTGGAATAAATATTAAACGTACAATTATTAAAGTTAGAGAAGCTTATATTTGATGTACACTGTTGTAACTGTAAATCACCACATGTTAGGGACGATTTTGATAACAGCTCCTGATGAACTCCTGATGAGTCACTACATGCAGGAGCCAAATGCAATTCATTGGGTTTTACGACAATATCTGAGGGATTCTGGCATCCACTGCCTGACGATGATGGCTGATTAAAAATCATTTTCGAAGTCGTTTTTTTATTGTTAATGCTTTCTTCTATATATCCTTCTGCAGTCGTGTTTGATCGCCATCCTCTATGACTTTTGAGCCTCCTGATATCCGCTCCACCCTCAGCAAGAAAAATAGTTGACGTTCGACGTAGGCAATGTCCAGTGTAACCGTCTGGGTTGGGTAGATTCAAGTAATGGGCAATTTTCTTCGGCATCTTGTAGAAACTGTGGATGCCCACAGGTTGCACGGTACATTTATTGTTCATATAAAATATGAAGAATCTTAAGTGATGTTTTGGGCGCAAGCTTACATATCTCCTGTACAGCTCAATCTCATTAATTCCTCCAATTTCCCTCGAAACGGTGAATATGCGCTTCTTCTTTGTCTTAGTATCATGGAGGGTGACAACCAAAACAGAGCCGGTATCCTCGATATCCTCCACATTTAACTTTCTTAGTTCCTCACTACGACAGGCACCATACAAACCTAAAATTAAAGCCACTTTAATCAGTAGAAAGCTATCGCCAGATGCTTCTTTCAAAAATTTTGACACATTGTCCTTTGATAAAATTTTTGATTTTCTTGGTTCGTATCCCTCGTTTTTGCGCTTTATTATGCAAAAAGTATACTTTCTTTACTTATAATACAAATAACTATATTTTGCATAGTGTGCTTCTGTAGCTATATGGACATGAAAGTAGAGATTGAATTAGACTGAATTAGAGTCAAAACCTCTTATAAGCGCACATATGTTTCTTCAACATTGACAGCATGAGCAAGTGGAATAGTTGGTAGTGTGTTTCCATTATGAAGTAAAGCTGTTTTAAGACTGTTTTTAGAGCTATCGATAAAAAGACGCCAAAACAGTCTCTGCACGTTATTACAATAACAAATACCTTGATCTTTCGTAAAAAATTGTACAAATGCTTCCCTCTGTTTCGCTAAACAGTTACACGGGTTGTATGGTGTAAATAATTCCATTGCTGTAAGCGGGATGCCAATACCTCACTATCAATCTTCGACAACTTCAGATCTCTAGCTAAATCACTTAGTTCTTTCTGTGACAGTTTATGGCTTATTTTGGCATCATAGTCGCTGCTAGATGACATATCTTCACTCTCTTGTTATCTGATCACTTTCACTGGATTGCATTAATCGGTCAGGAGGATTTGTTCTTTGTAAAGTTTCGCTGTGCGGAATCGGCTTTTTGGCTGATCTTACATTAGGATAAACCAAACTTTTCTTGTTTTTTTGTTCATGCCGTCTAGGTTTATTTTACAGAAATAGCAATCGGAATGATCTGATATCTGTGACCATAACATTGGAATACCAAACTGTAAATGAGATGTAGATTCACCCGCCATCCATCTATTCAGAGTTATACCGCAATTCGGACATATAAAACTGGGTGTCCAAGGCTTGTCTAAATTCGTCAAAGCAAACCCAAAATAATGAGAATACGCCTGTTTTATAACAGTTGTAATTGGTCGTCTCGTCATCCCAATAATATATTGTCCGCAAATAAAACAGCACAAATCAGGATTGTTCTTGCATTCAAAACTTTTGCTGCTGCTAGCCATTATCAACAAAACTTTTAGATCACTTTGCTATTTTCTTAAACTCACTGATCACTGAGGTGTGTCAAGAAGAACTAAATATTATGACAATATATGCTCCTTTTATACCAAAAAATATTTCAAAAAAAGACTGTTTAGCAGAACAAGGTTCTAAAATATAAAGAAGTGGAGTTATTAAAAAACACTTTTTCAGAGAAAGTGATTGTTTTCTAACAATGAGAATTTCTTTTGCCATAATAGGTCTAACAGGTAAACGCGCGCTTAAAAACTTTTTGCAAGAATATTATTGTTTGTTGTATTTAAAAAATAATAATATTTATTTCAGTGAATTTAATGTTTATACTTAGTGCCAGGAAGAGTTAAAACACCTCTTTATTAAAAAAAAATTGTTTGTAATAATTTCAATAATACAGTGAAAATGGCAAAAAATAAAATTTTGCACGATTGTCGTAAATTAACGATATCTCCGGTAAAATACGTTCGAGCATTGAACACTATGTCCAATGCTTCAAAATTTAGAGAATTAAATGTTCTACAGGATAGAATAGCTAACTTTTTTGTTCCTTTTAGCTAACTTTTTCGTTACGGTGCGATTAAGTGATAAAAAAATGGGAAAAATGCCAAAAAATTTGATTTTGTTGAGTTGTTTTAGGCTGTAGCAAAATAACTGAGAGTCCGATTTGTGCCATCAATACCTCAAAATATTGGTCTGGATCTTTACTTTCATGTCCATATAGCTACAGAAGCACAGTATGCAAAATAAAAAATATACTTAACATGAACCGTTACTATGTTTTTTTATTTACGATTTTCCACATTTTTGGGTATATCTCGAAAACTGGACGTGATGGAGAAAAACTGAGACAGTTTCGGAATCAGCACGTTATGAAAAAATATCACAGTCTTAGAGAAAAAAATTGATTACAATATTGTAAACCCACAATCATTTCTCAAAATTACAATAAAAAAGGAAATGAGTGGATGAGAAATAAAGAAAAAATCTGCTCTAAGAAGGCAGTTGTACGAAGGTGTAGTAAACAATAGAATACACAAAGATACTTATAAGTCCTTTTCTATAAACTTAAAAAAAAATGTGATAGATTGTAAAATAAACAATGTTTTTACTCGAATAGATATAATAAATTTAATTGACTCTACTGGTTTCAGCCTAGACCATCATCAGGAGTCTATAAGGTTGTAAACGTTCACAAAATACAATTAAAGACAAAATTTGAAATAAAATGTTACTTCATCTCGTTGTATAAAGTTGAGGTTAGGAAACACATTTAAACTTACATTCAATTACATTCAAATTTTGATATGTCATTTATGGATTGTAAAATAAAATGATGTATTGAAACTGATGCAAAATAAAAGTTTTAACGACTATTGTATCACCTAATCTTAGAAAAAGTTTAAGTAACAATATAAAGAAATCTCGCCGATCATTGCATAATCTGGAACCATCATAGCATTTTAAATTATCAGGAAGTTCACTTCGTCCAGCATAACCAGGATTCATTGTGGTACAAACGTGGAAAGCTGGATTTAAAGTCAATTCAAAAATTGTACTTGTAATTTAAAGACTTCAATTTCAATCCTATTGAATTCATCAAAACATGCCCAAGCACCTGAAGAAGCTAAACCTTCAAAGAACTTTCCCATCGCTTTATAATCTAAGCCATTAGAACAATTAAATACAACACATTGAACCGCGAGTGCTTTTGCTAAATCTTTGGTTGCTTCAGTTTTGCCCGCTCCAGCTGGTCCTTCTGGTGCTCCATTAAGATGCAAATGATAAAACCTACTAAAGTTTGATAACAACGATCGGTTAAAGGAGTTATAACGAGTCTATCAGAATTTCCAAAGTATTCACAAGCATATCGAACCATTGCGTTAACTATTCTTGCTAAACATAGATCTTCTAAACACAGATACTAACATTTGTCCTTCGACTTGTAAAAGCCATTTTTCAACGCATCCACCAGCTTCGGCCAATTCAAGGAATTTTTTTATTTTCTTGACTAAACATTAATCGCTTAAGCTAAGGTTTCTACTTTTAAGAAATCCTTCGGGTATCTACCACCTAGGGCCAAAAGTATCTATGGAAGTGTTTTGTCAGGTCCGGGAGCCTTTTTATCCTTTAATTTGGCTGCTGCTGTTTCCAGTTCGTCCACGGCAAAAGGTTGGCAGTAAGTCTGCCATCTATATGGTAATGTGTTTATTGGACTGGGAGATCCTACCTAAAGAAGACCAAGAGACGGATGAGTGTTGGCATGACTGCGGGGAAGCTGACCCAACAGAGCATTACTTTTTCCGTTGCAAGAGATTTGAAGATGTGTTAAGGAAGTAGCTAGAATGGAACGTGAAATAGAGGAATAATGAAGGAATAGAAGAATAGAATTCTATTTCCTATGACACTCATTTGATAGAAAAGATTATACATATGTTGAACTAGAAATTGATTTAATAAGTTTTAAAATCGTTTTTGAGCAAAAAGTGAGACATGTCACTTTTCAAAAATTTCAAATAGCGATATAAATTAATTAAAATCGAAATAAAAGGTGATAATTAATTTGCTAACTCATTCTTTATTGAAATCAAATTTGTATATTATTTACTTAAATTAAATCGTTTCCTGGTTTGGGTTTTAAAGCATTTAAATTCTTCATTTCTTATTAATTATTCATCACATCCATCTAATTTTTCAAAAACAATCCCTCCTTTCGTGAAACGATGGTGATTGTGGGAGGATGACGATGAAGATGAAGAACTTGAGCTGGAATACGAATACCCCATTCCCCCATTAGAATCATCATCACTACCGTAACCATAACCTTGAGATCCTCCATAACTTCCTTGAGTAATTCCAGTTATGACCTTACCAGGAATGTATCCATCTTGACACACCTTCGTTTCGCCTAAATTAATATGGGGGGTATGCTCAATCCCGCTCCCTTTAACTTCAATATATCTCGTTTCTTTAACCTTAGCTGGTCCGAATCCAATCTCATCGTAAGTTAATTTCTTCACCCCGTTGTTTTCGCCGGCTAAATCTTCAACATCTTGGTTGAGTTCTTCATCTAAAAGAGCCTCCTCTGCTTCTTGAGCCGCCGTTTTTCCGTTTGCTATTATAATCGGTTTTAATTCAACAACTTGCCCGTTATGGCCGAATAAGTTTTCTTCAGCTATCACGTTCTTGGTTTTTTGAATCACAGGAATTTCGCGGGGTAATTTGTGAAATCCGAAGAAAAGTTTGTCTTCGGCGACGTTGTTAAGTTCATTTTGAAGTTTGTAGGCGAGGGAGAGCGAGACTGAATCAGCTGGGCCGTAATAACCGTATGATTGGGATAAGGAGTTATCAAGTCCTGATGATGATGATGCGCAAGATGATGAAGATCCAGATGAGTAAGATCCGGATGATGATGAGCCAGATGAGTAAGATCCAGAAGAAGAAATTCCTGATGATCCATAATTTCCTGATGATCCATAATTTTCTGATGATCCATAATTTCCTGATGATGACCCATAAGACGGGGTATAAGATGAGCCATAAGATGAGGAAGATGATGAAGATGATGCTGAAGATGAGCTACATGAGCACTAAAAAAAATTGTTTTTGTTATTTGAGTTTGGTGACATCTTTGGTGGTGTTACCTTATTTGTTCCGCAGAGGGCGCAATTAGTTTTTGGGACAAAAGCTGGGGTGACGATGGTTTTGTGGCCAGAACATAAACTTCCGATGGGTTTTAGTGGTTTAAATCCGGTGATAACCTCCTTAACGATGACTCTGGGTTTGCTAAGTTCTGAAATGTCAACTTTTGGGAGTCTATTTGGCCTGATTATCATTGGGCTACATCCGGTTTTTGCGGAGGTGCAAACATCGCGTCCTGGGCCGAACCCGCAATTAATGCAACCCGAATAAACCTGTTCAAAAAAAAATTAATTAATTAAATTAATTAACTAAATGAATTAAATTCTTACTTGAGTTGAAATTGCTACGATGACACCGATAACGATGAATATCTTCATTTTTCTTCTTCTTGGATCGATTAATTCTTGGATCGAAGACGAAAGTGGTCGATGGTTAGCAAAAGAGTCAACTCGGGTTTTTATACCGCTTCGTTTTTGGGTTTTGTTTATAAATATTTGTGGGTTTTGTTGAATGTTTTGGTTGAGTTAGGAAAAAGGAAACATTGTTTTGAGCTCAATTTCAGGTGTGAAGGTCGAACGAAAAAAGTAAACGATGCAAAAATGTTTATGAAACGTTAAATATTTGAGTTTAAAACTTTATAACAAAAAGGTTTTAATAAAAAAATTTTTTCAATGCCAAAGGAAATCATTACGATCTTTATAAAATACGTTACTCAATAGAAAATTGATAGAAAATTACTTAAAAAGGTATAAAAAGAAAATTTTTAACATAAACCAACTTAGTTTACTTAGTTTACTTCGAATTCGATTAAATTCAAAAAAAAATGTTTGTTAATCCAAAAAAAATCTTTTTTGTATCATTTTTAATAATTCTCGCGAATTTAAATGCAACAAAAAGTGACTTAATCCAAGAAAAAGAGAATAAGTAATTAATTAATTAATTAAAAACAATTTTTTAACAAAAACAATTTTAGATTAACCCCTTTAAGATTCTTGGCTCAAAAAGAAGCAGGAAATTCCGTTTTTAATTATTTCCGAAGCGTTTTAGACCAAGTTCAAGAAACTTACAACTCAGCTTTATCCTCGGCTAGGCAAAATCCGGCCATCCAACGCTTAGAAGGTAGAATTAAAGGAATGAAACAATCTTTAGGGTTACCTCAACACAATTTATTAATCAAACCTTAATTACAACTCAAAATCATCTTAATTATAACTCAAAATCATCTTAATTAAAACTCAAAATCATCTTAATTAAAACTCAAAATCATCTTAATTAAAACCAAAATTAATGATTATTTAATTTGTTTTAAAAGCTTTTTGCGTATCTTGAGCTAATTTGGTAGTTTTGTCCGCGAATTCTTGTCCCAACGCCTTCATTTGGTTGGAGAATGTTTGCAAATCTTCGTTATTCTATCCCAAGTATCCAAAACTTAATTAATTAATCTCGCAAAATAATTGAGTTAATAATTAAAAAGTATTTACCTGAACTTTAGACATTAAATCATTAAAATTAGTTTTTAATTCGTCGAGGAAGTTATCGATGGTGTTTGTGGCATCTTTAGTATCTCTTTTATGTAAATTAGCACAATTAACCTAAATTAAATAAAATTAAAATAAAACAAATTAATTGATTAATTAATTATTACCTGGTAAATCACTAAAGTAGCGATAAAAACGACTAAAAAGTTCTTAATCGACATCTTGTTTGATATATTTTTTTTATTAACTTCTCTAAAAGACGTTAAAGCGTTAATAAAGTGTTTAAACGTGTTGATTTACTTTTTATACGAATTCGAATTAATCGCACTTTGAACGATTCGAGTAATCTTGTTTTTGGATTGATAAAGTTCTGTTTTAAAATGTTAGAAATAATAAAGTTATTTCTCGTGCGCGATGACGAATTCGGTTCGATTAAAAATTATTTCCGTCGATTAATAGTTATGACTAAAAAATTTGTATCGAAAAGATTAATCAATTTGAAAAAATTTTGTTATCAATATTGCTTCCTTTAAATTTAGTAATGATTTAATGCGAAAAAGAAGAAAATTTTGCGAATTTTGATACCAAACATGACCTATTTTCGATTGAGATTCGAAATTAAAGATTAATTTTTAATTAATAAATAATTAAAGTTGAAAAATTAAAGAGATAATTTGTTTGTGATCAAATTTAATTGTATAAATGATTATAATTATGAATATACAAATTTAATTTCATTGAAAAAAATTTATTTGGTGAACTAATTAATCAAATAATTTTAAAAAATTAATTCAAAATCATTGCATGTAAAAGAGGAGAAAATTTCGTGAATTTTGATACCAAACTCGACCTATTCGGAAAAATATAAAAATTAATTAAAAAAATTAAACAAAATGGCGGCGATTTTGGTGATTTTAACCTAACTTTTTTGATTTTTTAGCAGAAATGTATCGCGTTTGGTATCAAATTGAAGCAATTTCGGTTTCCTAAATAACTGTGATCGTGGATTTTACTGTAATAAAAGATTTTCCGTGAAATTAATTAATTAATAAATTCAAAAATGTTTGTATGTAAAAGATTTAATTGAAAGAGGAGAAAATTTCGTCAATTTTGATACCAAAGTCGACCTATTCGGGAAAATATAAAAATTAATTAAAAAAATTAAACAAAATGGCGGCGATTTTGGTGATTTTAATCTAACTTTTTTGATTTTTACCAGAAATATATCGTGTTTGGTATCAAATTGAAGCAATTTCGGTTTCCTAAATAACTATACTGGATTTTACTTTAATAAATGATTTTCCGTGAAATTAATTAATTAATAAATTCAAAAATGTTTGTATGTAAAAGATTTAATTGAAAGAGCAGAAAATTTCGTGAATTTTGATACCAAACTCGACCTCTTCGGGAAAATACAAAAGTTAATTAAAAAAATTAAACAAAATGGGGGCGATTTTGGTGATTTTAACCTAACTTTATTGATTTTTTAGCAGAAATGTATCGTGTTTGGTATCAAATTAAAGCAAATTCGGTTTCCTAAATAACTGTAATCATGGATTTTACTTTAATAAATGATTTTCCGTGAAATTAATTAATTAATAAATTCAAAAATGTTTGTATGTAAAAGATTTAATGGAAAGAGTAGAAAATTTCGTCAATTTTGATACCAAACGCAACCCATTTTGGGAAAATATAAAAATTAATTAAAAAAATTAAACAAAATGGCGGCGATTTTGGTGATTTTAACCTAACTTTTTTGATTTTTACCAGAAATATATCGTGTTTGGTATCAAATTGAAGCAATTTCGGTTTCCTAAATAACCGTGATCATGGATTTTACTTTAATAAATGATTTTCCGTGAAATTAATTAATTAATTCAAAAATGCTTGTATATAAAAGATTTAATTGAAAGAACAGAAAATTTCGTCAATTATAATAATAATAATAATAATAATAATGCCTTTATTAATAGAAACAACAGAAAAAAAAAAGATTACAAATGTGCGCAGGGCGGAGTTAGGACCATAGTCCTCTCTACCACCCAACCCTGCGTTAAAAAAAAAATCAAAAATTCAAAAAATAAAACATAAAACATTCGATCTTGACAATAATACTAATACCAACAAAACAGCCATTCAGAGAGAAAGTAATAAAAATAACACTCATAGTAAAAAAAAATCGAAAATGATATAAATTACTCATTAGCCCCATTCTGGTCACAGACAATGATCTCGCGGAGCCCTTTTTTGAAGGTGCTCAGTGGCAACGACTTAAGAGAACTTGGCAACGGGTTGTAAAGCCTGGGTAGATTAAAAGAGAAAGACCGTTGAAACAAAACCGAGCGGTGCTGAGGTGGAGTAATCAAGCCCTTGGATCTGATGTTCAAATTATGAACATCAGTCCGGAATGATATTTTATTATAAAGATAAGAAGGCGACTTAAATAAAAGTAATTTATGATAAAAAGTTAACAGATGTAATTTCCTCCTGTTAGCCATATTAAGCCAACCCACCTCCTTCAAAAAACATGTAACGTGATCTCTCAAACGCAACCCAAAAATCAGTCTCAGACAGGCGTTCTGAACTTTCTGAATACGGCCGGCAGTTACCTGATCCAGACAAGTGCCGTATACCGTGTCGCAAAAATTAAATTGGCTGAGTACCAAGGCGTCACACAGTCTCGCCCTAATGTCCCTAGATAAAAAGTTTTTAATATTATAAATAAGCTTCAGCGCCGCAAATGATTTACGGACCTTTAAAGTAACATGATCCCTAAATCTGACATCACAATCCATTAGGAGGCCAAGATTACGACAACAACCCGCAACGCCCAAGTCACCACTATCCAGCTCAATTCTAAAATGAGAGCAAGCGTTGCGGGCATTGCGTCTACCAAACAACAACATAACCGATTTTAAGGGATTCAATCTTAAGTTGTGACTGGCAGCCATTTTGGTAAACCGAGCAACATCACCCGCAATCCTAAGTTGGGCCACAGGAGCATCATCCTGTCTGAAAGAATAATATATCTGAGAATCATCGGCATAAAAATGAGCTTTAGAATATTTGAGACAATTTTGGAGACCAGAAGTATAAATGCTAAATAAGAGCGGACCCAATACAGAACCTTGTGGTACACCGGCCATTAATCCACGGGCAGCCGAGACGATCATGCCACAGGAAACGACCTGTCTTCGATCAGAAAGAAAATTCAATATTAAGGCAGCAGCATTAGTACAAAACCCAATGTACTTTAGAATAGAATCCAAAACTGTATAATTCACCGTATCAAATGCTTTCGAAAAGTCGAAAAGAATTAAAGCCGTAACCATGTCATCATCAGCTGCCCGCAGTATATCATCAGTTATATGCATCAATGCTGTACCACATCCATGATTTTTACGAAACCCAGACTGTGTCGTCGGCAAAACACTGCAACCCTCAACAAAAAATCTCATCTGAAAGGCCATGATTTTTTCCAAAATCTTAGACAAAACAGGCAAAATACTAATCGGCCTAAGGTCACCACACGAAGTAGGATTGGCTATCTTAGGCAGTGGGATCACTTTAGCAGTTTTCCAAGCGTCTGGAAAAACTGAGTTAGCTAAACAGTAGTTTATAATATGTGTTACAAAAGGTAGAATATGGGGACAGCAAAGATGCAACATTAAGGATGAAACACCATCAAAACCAACCGAGCCTGATTTTAACTTCAAAAGTAGTGAACCGACAATGTATTCATCTACCGTTTCAAATAGGAAATTATTAGTAGGATTTAATTTAGAATTATTATAGAAGTCAACAACATCCTGATCAACAACCCCTCCCAATTCAGAAGATCTAGCGAAATAATCATTTATCTCATCTGCATTACCTAAACTCCCGGGCAATGGTTGGCGCCTCTGTCTGGCGACACCCCAATCACGAAGGACCCGCCATAGCTTAGCAGAACTACGCTGAGCCACCACCGAACCAAAGTATGCCTCTTTCTCTCTTCTTATCGCTCCTTCCACGTACCGCCTCAAATCTTTGTAACTATACAGATCATTAATATTCTTAGAGTGCTTATATTTAGAGTAAGCCCTATCCCTCAAACACATCATTTGTTTTAACTGCGGCGTAAGCCAAGGACTACGTCTTTTAGAAAATCGTCTATTCCTTAGTGGAGCATATTTATCGAAAATTGAAATAATAAGATTATTAAAAAAATTAACTTTGATATTAACGTCATCCAGTTCATAAATTAAAGAGAACGGCAACGACTCCAGTTCAGCAGTAAAATCAACAAGATTGATAGAATTAAAATCCCGGTAAGCCCTAAAAACTGGTTCAGTAACAATAGGTGCGACTGTCAAGCTACATCTAATCAATTCATGATCAGTTAGACCATGCAAACTGTCCAGTGAAGTAAACGCAAAATCGACACAAGAAGAAACAACAACATCTATCAAGGTTTCCGAGGAAGAAGTAATACGAGTAGGCTCGTTCACCAGTTGCAACAACCCATATGCGTCCAGAAGATTCAAAAATTTAGTAGTGTAATTTAGTAGTTATGATACCAAACACAACCCATTTTGGAAAAATATAGAAATTAATTAAAAAAATTAAACAAAATGGCAGCGATTTTGGTGATTTTAATCTAACTTTTTTGATTTTTAACAAAAATATATCGTATTTGGTATCAAATTAAAGCAAATTCGATTTCCTAAATAACTGTGATCATGGATTTTACTTTAATAAATGATTTTCCGTGAAATTAAT